TCTTGGTTTCAATCAATCCCCCAGGAGATGGATTAAAATACCATTGACTGCTGAAATACATATTATAATATTGTACCTCAAAGTAGCATTAGCATACCTGTCATGATTTAATTATTTCTTAATCTTAATCCATCTTACATTGCAGATTTACTCCACTTACTCAAAATGAATTGAGCATTATTTATTTTATAAAATATTTCTAGACTCTGTTATCGCTTTGCATAACCTTCAGTCAAAAGATTTAGTATCAAGTGCTCATGTCACTGAGAGTTCCTATTTGTAATTGGCAGCCTCATCCAGTATTGCAGGATCACTAGAAGTAATGAGAAGCTGATACAATTGAAAAGTATCCTATGTGATCTGACAGAGCCTCAAGAAAACACAAGGTATCTATGAGTTGTGTCCAGCATGAGTCATGTTGCATTTGATGTTCTGTTGTTTTCTTTCTCCTTTCCCCTTCCAGTGAAATCAGATGAGTTACAGACAATCAAGAAAGAATTAACCCAGATCAAAACTAAAATTGACTCCTTGCTAGGGCGCCTGGACAAGATTGAGAAGCAGCAGAAGGCGGAGGCAGGTAAGTGAAAAGGATCTGTGGCCACAAACAAGTCGGAATTAAACCCGTGGAACACTGTCAATCACTGAGACAGTACAGGGCCAGGGAGACTGGCTGAGTTTAATAGAGATTAATACAGATATGTGAATACAGTTTTTAAGCCGAGAGTTGCAACAATGGAATATGATTTCTTTACTTACAGAGAACATGAACGAATGTTTCTAAGATTCATACTAAAAAAAAATAATAATAACTATTTTGTGGAATAACCAGTAATAGTTGAATCACAATTGAAAGTTTATGTCTCAATATCATGTTAACCTTTCAGAAAATAAAATCAATTAATGGAATAATGCTATCATGCTAAAATAATATTCATATTTGATTGAATTAACTATAGCAAAATTTAACAGGTTTCAAAAATTATTATTAAAATGCCCAACTCCTGCCTTTGCAAAATTTTAGTACCCAATTTGCGGAACTTAAAGACCAACAGCATGCCCCTGGCCACCCACAGGCCAGGGTATTTGATTATATTCTTTACAACTTAATGACCTCTCTCCTTTGAATTATCAGACCTAAGCCAGCTTCATTCTAATACAATTCTAATCCTCTTTCCACATGGCGATAGGTATTTTTAAATCATAGAATATGAGAACTGATATAAATTTAGAGGTAGGCCATAGTTTGAAAACTCTGTTCTTCAAGGCCTTAGATGTCTCAGAGGCCTCCTTGGAGATGAGATGAGGGTTGGGGAAGATGCTGTAGACAGATAAATTCATGCCTCCTCCAAACCCAGCCCATGCTCTGACCAGTGTAGCTCTATCTGTATCTGTTTTAAATATAGGAATTCAACATAAGACTTAATTTGCTGGAAGATTTTCACTTAAAGAATAAACAATACAGTTGGAAAGCCATTTTGCAGATGAGAAAACAAAGGCTCAAGAAGGTAAATTGATTTTTCTATAGCCACATATCTAGTTAGTGATAGACCTAGGTCTCAAACCCAGATCTTGTAAGTGAATCCAGGGCCCTGTCCAATTAATAGCCTCAAGCTCGGGTTCTTCCCAGAGCCTGGGGCTAGCATTTCACTGATGTGAAGCTGCCCGGGTTAACCCCAACTGATAAGAGCTGATTGGAACCTAGAGCCCCTGAGCTTCAACAGACAGGAGACTTGCTGACTCTTATCACTGGGGTGAGGACCCACCTTCTTGTGGTGAGTGATCTAGGGCTCAAGAATGAACAGGAGCCAGATGTGAGGTAGGGGTATAGCGAAATGGATGAGAGAAAGGAACTCTGGTTCAAATCCTCACATACTACATACCACAGTTTTCTGATTTTTAAAATGGGGATAGTAATGTCTACCTCACATTCTGAGAAATTAATAAAGTAGCACATGCAGATTATATAGCAAAGAGTTAAAGGCTTAGTAAGTGCAGCTATGAGGGGTTAGTAGCAGCACACACATAT